TATATATATATATATATATATATACTATTTTTATAAAATAATATATTTATATACAATTTTTCTTTTTTATTTTTGAAAAATAATCTATATTATATATTTTTTACGAATACTATAAATAAATAATAAATTATATAATAAGTTTTTAATAAAAAAATTAATAATTTTTGTTTAATATATAATCTTTGTTTATTATTAAAATTTTTATATGTTTTATAAAAATACAACAATATTTTTTATTTATTGATTAAAAAAAAAAAAAAAAAAAAAATTATTGGTTGGAATTATAAAAATCTAAAAAAAAAATTAATTTTAATATTTTTATTTTTTTTTAAAAAAAAAAAAAAATTTCAATTTTTTTTTTTTAATCTATAAAAAAATATTGATCATAAAATAATAAAAGTTAATTTCCCTTAAAAATAATAAATAATATTATATATTAAAATAAAAATATGAGTTTTTCCACTAATACATCATATAATCCTTAATAATTCCACTATTAATAAAATTTTGAATATCCATAATTAACTGAATAAGCAAGAGTAGAATAATTACGTTTCCTTCAATCTAATTCTAATTTTAATTTACTTAATTATAATAACTTCCCATCTTTATTAACAAATCCTATATCTTTATCAGCTTCAGACAATATTCCCAGTGATTCTTAAGAAGATATTAGCGAATATTCTCCCTAATAATCACAATCTGGTGAAAATTCAAGTAATTATTAAACCTCAATAAGCATTTAATCAAGCTAAAGTAGCAAAAGTCCATAATTAAGAGTCTAGAGTGCACCTGCACGACCTTTAACGTCTCTTGAAGAGTTTAAGAGAAGCGAATTATTTATGACTTTAGAAGATATTATATTAAAATCATCAAAATTAATATAAAGTGATTTCCAGAAATTCGATTTGGACTCGCCTGAAGGTTAGAAATCTTTTAAGAAATATTTCTAAAGTCTTGAAAAATTAATAAAATATTCACAGTGTAATATTAGTTGTAGAAAATATCGAGAATAATTTACAAAAGCATATAAAATTCTATATAAAGAAGAAGAACTTTCGTATTTAAATGAAATTTTTGATTCTGCTTAAGAAGGATTTCCTTATTTATATGTAAATGGTGAAAAATATGTGTTTTCTGAAAAAGTACTTGTTTTTGGGAAAGAATTAATGGAAAATTATTTCAAAATGTAGAATTAAATAAGAATTTTTTATCAAAAAATTTGCCAAGAAAACCTTTTTGAGGAATAAATTTAAGAATCAACAAATTAATTTAAAGTTTTTTTAGAAAAATTCGATTCTTCTTGGACTTAGTTTGAAGAAATATATGTAAAAGAATTAATGGTAATAGAGAAATAAGCACGTCGTTATGTTTAAAATGCTCTTGATATATTAAAAGAATTGGAAAAAGTAGAAAACAGTGAGAAAAAGAAGGGAAAAGTATTCATTTAGAACCATTAAGAATACATAAACTTATAAGAAAATCTTTGCAAATAGATATGTTTAATGAATTCGGTGGCAAATATGGAAGGTAAAGGTCGAGATGATCTTGATTTTAATATTTTATAATAATCAGAAGGTATATTAAGGAGAATAACAAACGAATAATCAAAAGCAGTGAGAAATTTGGCTTAATAAATAAAAGAAAATTTAAGCTCTTTAAGAAATGTATTGAAAAAATATGAAGATAATATAGAAATGTTGGATCCTTAATTAAAAAATAATAATGAACTAGTTTAAGCTTTAAATAAATATGAAGATTCTTGGGAAAAGGGAAAAAACTATTTTTTAGATGGGAAAAAATGCTCGTTTTTAATTCATTTTTCCCATATTATAGAGACTACTGGGTAGAAATATAAATAATTCCAGGAACTAATAGATATACGAGATGCTGATATTTTTTTATATATACCATGTTTACTTGTCTTAAAGCTTTTAGATAAGGATGATAAGAATATTTGTATGTTTTTTTTACCTTAAATGTTCGAAAAAGGACATAAATTTAATGAGATTTTGGATGATTTAAATAAAGAGTTTTTTAGTTGGAAAAATTAGTTTAAAAAAAATTATGTTTATTATAATGTTTTGGAATAATAGTTATTAGGGATTAGAAGTTATGATAATGATTATTATGGGGGTTAATTGGAGAAAATTATTTAAAAAATTAAAATCTTGGCAATGGAGATACAAAGAAATAATCCGATTGAGTGGAATTCTTTCATGGACGTTTCTTTATGTTCTTAATGATAGTTTTAATTTAATTTTAAAATATACTTAAATATATATATTTATATATATGCATATATAATATATATTAAATATATATATATATATATATATATATTTTATTATAGTCTTTATATACTTTACTTTATAATAATAATTTATATTTAATTAAAAAAATTAATTTAATAAACGAAAAAATTTTTCATATTTATAAAAAAAAAAATTCATATATTATTATTTAATTATTAAAAAAATATATATACTTAATTTATATATATTTATATATTTATTGTTTAATTAATATTTTTATATTTCTATAATTTATCAAAATTATTTACTCTGTTCAAAAGATCCATATATATTAACACAATATTTTTTTTATATATTTTCTATTATATATATACTCAATTATATTTGTTATATTATTATTTTTTGCTTTTTAACTATATACATATATGCTTAAAATATTAAATATATAATATTTGTTTAGTTATTTTTTTCTATTTTATATTTCATTTAATTTCACAATATTTTAATCAGATTGAGTTCTGTATACTAAGCAAATTTCTTAAAATATATGAATTTTATCATCTATCCATTTATAATTAATTTTACATTAGTTCTCTTATTTTACACACAAAACTTAAATAATATATATATATATAATTTATATATATATAATATATATGATTTGTTAAAAAATTTTAGTAACAAATATATAATAGAAAATAAATTATTTGTAATAATAAATTTTTTTGTTTGTATTATGTAATTTACTATCTTTAATTATAAAAAATCTATTTGAATTTTAAATTGGAATAATAAAAATCTCAATTCACTAAATAAATCTAAATTATAATTTTTTATTTAATATAAGCTTTTTATCATAAGAATGCTAAATTAAATAAACGAAATTAAGATTTAAATCAAATTAATAGAAACTTTAAAAGGACAGTCTTTAGATATAATTAAAAAATAAAATATGTAAAACGAAGAAATAATCGAAAAAAACGAATTAAGAAATCGTGTGTAAAGAAACTATTGAAAATAATAAAATTTCTTATGTAAATATTAATGAATATTAAGTAATAAATTTGCAATTTACATAATAATTAAATTCAAATATGCAAAATAAAATAGAAAAAAATAATTAATTATATTTTAGTTAATAAAGGACTATTATAAATGAAGAATTAATAATTAAAAATATGATTTTAGTCTTATTTCTTAAAACTCTAACATTTATTAATTGAAAAGAATTAATTTCAATAAAATATTGAATAATAATAGTCATGAATTTAATAAAAGTTTCTTTTTTAAATGTAAAATAGCAATTAATAAAAATAATGATTCGAATAAAAAAAAAATAATTTTAAGACTTATACTATTGAAAGGTTAATAAAATAAATAATTAATAAGTAGAAATTATTAAAAACTTATATTTATAATAAATTACTATATTTAATTAAATCAATTGACTGATTTTATTTAAATTAATATAGCTAATTCTTTAACTAAAGTAAATAATTTAAAAATTGTCATTTCTATATTAGAGAAATATATAGTGATTTCTAAATAAACAATTTACAGTTTAAATAGGAGAAAAATATAAAAAATGATAATTCTTTTAATCAATAATTAACTTAATAATGACAAGAAATAGTTTAGTTAAAAATTATTATTAATAAAATTAAAAAAACGTATTTAAGAAATTATTAAATGAATAAATTAAGTTAAATACTACAATTTAATTAAAGCCATAACAAATAACATAATCATAATAGTATTAAAAAAAAAAAAGAAAAAACTTAAAAAAATATTATTATTAGAGAGTACATATTTAAAATATCAATTTAAATAACGAAATTTCAGATTCGAAAAAAAAAATCAATTAATAATTTACTTAAATTAAGAAGCCAAAAAATAAATAAAAAAATTTAATAAAATATAAAGAAATAGAATAATTGATAAAAAAAAAATATATATAAAAATCAAAATAAATAACTCTCATATAATAATTATAGACTTAAATTAATTAGAATTAGGTATTATTTCAAAATTATCATTATTATAACTATTTGTTTTTAATATTAATAAGAAATTATTGACCTTAAAAATAGAAAACGAGGAATAAAAACCACTAAAAAGTGCCAAAATGAACTTTAAATTTAAATATTATTATACTCCAATAAAAATACTGGAAAAAATAAAAAATGATTGTGATTAAAATTACAGTGTCAAATTAATTAACTATGTAAAAATAATTGTATTTATTATAATAATTAAATCATTAAAAGCGTTTTCCTTAATTAAAAAAACATAAGAGTTTTAATTAAAACTTGAATTATTATAAAATTAATTCTAAAACACTTGAGCAAGTCTTTTGAAAATGTATGTTAGGAAATAGTACAAATTTCATTTTTTATTTTGATTAATTATGTTAATAATAACTTCAATATATTTAATTTAGGTAATAATAATGAATTAATAATTTAATTAAATTAGCTATTTATAATATTTTTAATGAAATAGAAAAGAATTATTGATGAATAAACTATATAGAATAATAAGTTAGTAAAGGAATGAAGAATTATATATTATTATTTTATATTTATTTGAATTTAATTTTTTAAAATTATTCTGTTTAAATTTTTATTTAATATATATATTTTTTATTTTGTTTTGTTTCAGATACAGAAATAATTAAATATTAAAGCTATTAAAAATATATTGTAAATAACAAATTCGTATAATGTATAATAAGCATAAGTCTTCATAATCATATCATAATATTTAAAACAATTTCTTAAAAGTAGAACAATAACACTTAACATTTAGACAGAAATGAACTCTAAAGAATTTTTAATATAAAAATGTTTTTTAAAAAAATTTTGTTTTAGTTTTAGCTTTTGTTTTAGTTTTTGTTTTTTTTAAAAAATAGAGATTAAATCATAAATTTCTTCCTTTTCTATATTATTATTTTTCTCTTATTTATAGAAAGAATAAAAGAATAAATAAAAAGCCACACTAACAATAATTTAGCCAGAAAAATTATTCAGGAAAACATTAAAAAAAAAATTGCATAATTTGTGTCATATGAACCTAATTACTTAATATTCAATTATAAAGAATTTATCTCATATTTATGATCTGTATCAAAGTAATATTTATTACCTAAAACAAATAACATCATAAAAGGAATTCCAGTTTATTATATTCTTAAATACTAGCAAATATTAAATAATATACTAATTATTAATACTAAAAATATAAAATAATAAAATGAAGTATAATTCATAATATAAAGGAAAGGAATAAATAAACCAGAAAGAACAATTAAGTATTTATTAATAAATCGAAGCTTTTATTTGATAAAGAATATCCTGTATATATTCTCGAATGCTATTATAATGTAACTTAAAATAGGGAATATAAGCATTAATGTATAATCGGTTATAATTTTAGAGTTAAACAGTGAAAAATAAATAAAGCAGAAAACAAATTAAAGGTAATTAGAAAATTTAATGATATTTTTTTAAAAGGAATCATTTAATACGCCACATATTTAATTTGTAGTTCTTAAATAAAAAAATCCAATTATAAATAAAGGAATGTACACATCAATTATTTTTATAATAATTAAACTACTATTAGAGACATCAATGTATTTTTTATCAAAAAAGATAGAAATAATCATAATTAAAATTTAATTAAATATTTCGATTTTATTAGATTTATTTAGCCTCTTAGAATAATAACATTATAAAATAAACACTATAGAAATTAATAAAAAGGAATATTAAATAAAATATTGATAATTTTCTCTATAGTCATTACTAATATTTAATACTGAATAAGAAATAATTCCAATTAAAAATAAAAAAGAATTTAAATTTAATTAAAAAAGACTTTTAATATTATTATTATTTTTATTATTTTTATCATATTCATTATTATTATTATTGCTGTTTTTTATATACCTTATTATTTCAACTAAAAAATAAGATATTAATATTATCAAAAATATACTCAAAATTATTGATGTTTCCATTATAAATCCAAAGCAAATTAGTAAAATAAATATCACTAAAATTATTACATATATTATTGTTTTTCTACTATTTAGCTAAAAGTTTATTTCTATAGAAGGTTTTTTTTAATAAATTTGTATTTTTAAAGCTTAAATATTAAAGAAAGTAAACAAAAGCAACTAAATTAAAATTAAAATTGCTACAATATTTAAAAACATAAAACTTTGAAACATATCGTTTATTTATTAAATAATTGTTTATGAGAAATTCCTTACATTTTTTATAAAATTATCTAATTATTCTTAATCAATCTCATATTTATCATTTTTATAATTATTAAATAATTATATATATTAAGATTTAATATTTTCTGCCTTTTTATTAATTCTCATAAATGTTTATTTATTTGGCTAATTAAAAAGCTAATATTTTTTTTAGAAAAAGTCTTAAATTTACCTAAAATTCGTATAAAAGGCATTCGCAACAACAGTATTAGTAATTCCAGGAAGATCCACGAAAAAATCCGGTATAATACTTCCAATATTATTAATAGGCAATGGATTTCCTTTTAACATACATATAGTTGGAGTTAAATCTAATTAATAAGTAAAACCATCTAAAAGATGTGTATTATCCATTATTTATGATATATTTCTATTTTTTATAAACCCTTATTAATTATAACCAAAAATAACACTTTAGATTTCCTATTCAGTATCTCCTCCGTGAGTAAAATATCTTCCATTAAAAGAAAACCCATGATCTGAAAATGCCAATAGAGTACTATTATTATCAATTATATTTAATATTTATGAAATAGTATCATTATACAGTTAAATTCCTTTCAGAATGCCTAAATTTTTCATAAAATCCTTATTTTATTCCGCACTATGTATTAAAGTATCTAAAGCTAATAAATGAGTATAGATAATATCACAATTAAGATCATCTTATATAGTCTATACTAATATTTACTAACATTTTAAATGTTATTATATTATTTCTTACTCTGTACTTGCCTCTAGAATTAATTTTTTGAGTTTCATTTGCTCCGGAAAGTAGTTTTCCCACATTTCAGAGCCTATAAAGCATGATTTTTTTTAGAATTATTAATATTATTAATATACAATATTGTCAGTTTTTATTTCAGAACTTACAAGATTTTCGTTTAAAATAAACCAGGCTGGAATATGACCGGTTAGAAATGCGTTTATACGTAAATAAGTCTCCGATATAGTCTCTATTATGCCTTTAATTAAGATTGTGTTAGAGAATTCCTTGTTTAAAGATTATGTAATGGATGGTACTAAATATTCTTCATATGTATTATCTTTTTAATTTATACTTTATTAAAAATTAACTACAACATGGTAAGGTAGGCAGTCTAGTATTAATATGATTAATTTCTAGGTTTATGGAGGAAACCAGTATTTTTTATAGATTTCTTTCTGGTTATCGTTATCAAAATACATTTCTTGTATAAAAGGATTTCCTAATATCGAATTTTCTTATAATAAAGGATAGGGGCAGAAAAAGCCGAGATTATATAAAAGAAGGCCTACAGTAAATAAAATAATTATATTAAAATATATATATTCAGATTTAAATTCCATTTTTTTTTTTTTTATTTAGATAATATAAATATAAATTAATTATATTTAAATTTATATTTATTTATATCTATATCTATATTTATCTATAATTTATATATATTTTTTTTGAATTCCTTTATTATTTAAATAATTTAATTATTATTTAAATTATCATATAATTTATATAAAAATATAACAATTTTTTCATTTTTTATTTTTTAATCTTTTTTATGTTTTAAAAGTATATTTTTTAATTGACTTTTAAACTTTCGCTAGTTCTTTTTTTTGTATATCTTCATTATTAGCAAGTCCTTCATAATAAAGTAACTCTCTGATATCTTTAAGCTCTTATAAATCATCTATTTTTTCGAATTCTTCTCTTTTCTTTTCCATATTTTTCTATCTGAATTTATCTTTCTTTGTAACTGGTAATCTTATATAATTACTTTCTTCAAATGAAATCCTTTCCTTTTCTTATTTTGCTAATTTATCTTTTTCCCCAAATCTTTCGACTATAGGCCTATTATTAAGTTTAAATTCATCTATATCTTTAGATAGATTTTCAGCTAATTTTCTTTTGAGATAAGTTTATCTCCTTTTCTCTTATATTTTCTCCTTTTCTTTTATTTAGTTATCCTTATTTAAAACTGCCTGTAATTTGGGGACTTAATAAATACCTTTTTTCTCTTTGTTTTCATCTTAGTCTTCTTCTTAAATTAATTCAGGACGAGGTTTATATAATTCGGGATTATCTTCTTCTTCTTCTTCGTTTATTTTTTTTTTAGTAGTTTTCTTTTATAAGGATAAACGCATTAGTTTTTATATTTAGTATTCCAATTTTTTTTCAACTGGCTTTAATTTTCCTAATAAAGTTTTATAAAAAATCAATTTTTTTAATAAAGTTTGGCCTTATATAGATTTTCCATTTATTTTAAAAAGTAAATAAAAATTTATACAAATTAAATAATTCATTAATATTTCATTTTTAGAATTTAATAAGGAAATGCCTTTTTCTAAATTTAATTTTTGTGTATTTTTTTATAATTCTTCTAATTGTTTCTATATTTCCTTATTATTCCTTAATATTTCTTCAATATGTTTATTATATTCTTCTAAATCACCTTCTTATATAATACATTCTTAATTTTATTTTAAATCTTAATTCTTTAATATATGTTAAAATTCTATATCATCTAAATTTATTCTCTATATATATCTTTATAGACGGTCGAAATAATTCTCCTCGTTAATGTTTTTGTCAAATAATTCTTTATTTTCGTCATCTTATATATCTTCTTCTTCATTTTCTTAAATTTATTGTTCAGATATTATTGAGTTTTCCTCGGTTTCTTCTTTATTTGATGAAAATACGCTTTATTCTTCTTCTTCTTCTTAAATGCTTGATTAGCTTAAACTTTCTTCTTCGGATTCAATTTAATTTTAGGTTTTTTTTTTCATTTTATTTTGTGTTTTTTGGTTTTATTTAAAGTATAATTTTATATTTAATTAATATAAATTTGTTTGTGTATATTATTTTTAATTTTAGTTTATAAAAAAAAAGTATAATTTTTAGAAAATTTTTTTTTTTTTTTATATGTAAAAATGTAAAAATATAAAAAAAATTTAAATGAAATATATATATATATAAATACATATAATTTTATTATTTCAAAATAAATGCTTAAATGGTATAATTATTTATGTTTAATGTAATATTGATATTAAATAATATTTTTTATATATATAATTAATAGTCTTTTTTAATACTTAACATTAGTTATTTGCATATTAAAAAAATAATTTTAAATATTGAAAAAAGACTCTGATTTAAATCAAATAAATTATTATTATATTATATTAATTATAAATAGTATTTATTTATTTTTAAAATATTTTGTTTATAGTTAGTTAGTATTTTTTATATATTTAAGTCTTATAGTAGTTATCTTTCATTTCTATATTATATTTTTAAAAATTAAAACAAAAAAAAGGCCAGACAAATAATTACTGTATATTGACTTATTAATAAACAAGTATAGAAATCTTATTTATTTTTATTTATAGGATATATAAATATTTTATGAAACGGAATATCTGCTTTTATATATTTTATAATTATTTTTATAAACTCTTTTCTAGAAATAGTATACTAAATATTTATTATTTATATTGTTACGATCACTATCTCTTTACAAAAATGTAAAAAAGGAATAGTAACAAAAATATCTACTGAAAATTTTAAACTTCGCTTTTATTATTATATATATACAAATATAAATATATATATATAAATATATATATATATATATATATATTTTTATATATATATATATATAATTTTATATATATTTTTCTTTGTCTGTATTTATTATTTTGATTTTTCTGTAAATATTTCGTTTTACTCTTTTATGAGATTTTTTTAAAATGTAAGTAATAATTACAATATATTTCAGGCAATAAAAATTGTTAATATTTTTAATATGTATATTCCAATAAAATTATAAGTAATTTTATACCGATATTTAAATAAATATATAAATAACCATATAACTTAATAGCTTATATATTGAATTTCTTAGTTTATTTTTATATATATAAATATAATTATAATTATTTATATATTATATAATATCATTTTCTTAAAATAAAATATCAATAATATAAACAGTATAAACATATAATAAACAATAACTAAAGTTATAAAAATTTTATAAATAACATCTAAATTATTTTAGGAAGAAAAATCAGAATATCTAATTTTTGCCTTTATATATAAAAGAAAAATAATAACTATATATAATTTATTTGTCTAATTTAATTCTTAATTATATAATTAAATATATACTACAACTAATATCTGATAAGAACGAAATGAATAGGATTATAGGTTTAAATAAAGTAGAAAGTTAATTATATTTATTTGAAATGTAAAATCTTTCTTTCACAAATTTAAGGCAATATCTGAATTTAAGAAAGATTTGAAATAAAAAAAGAAGCCTAAAATATATAAAGGGATTTACTAAATTACTATAAAAATAATAAATAAATAGATACACAAAATCTTTTTTTATATATTTTTTGAAAATTTCCTATTTGAAAAATATAGTAAAACTCCCTTAATAAGAGTAAAACATGACATTTAAATTGATTAGAATTTCTCCCTAAAATCAAAAAAAAGCAAAACCGATAAAAATAAAAGAAATTTTGGTAAAAATAAATAAATAAATATTGTCAGACAAAAAACTAATTTTTAAAGTAAATAAAAATCTATTATTATTTTATTAAAGAAAATTAATATTGAGAATAATTTATATTTTATATATATAATATAAATATTTTTATAATAAAATAAGATATTTAAATTAAGGTATTAATAAATAATGAAATATGTATAATTTTATTATTTTCATAATCATTTAAAAGTTAAAAAATAAAAGAAAAATTTTGTTTATTTTTTGTATGTATGTTATTTATTTAAATTTTCAATATTTTATAGATATTTTTTTTTATTTTATAAAAATATGTATTTTTTTTATATATATATATTTAGATTTTTTTTTATTTAATTAGTTTTTGTATATATAAAATATATTATTTATTATTATTTTTTAATATATATTATATATAAAAAATCCATAAGAAAATAATTATTTAGTATATATCAATAGATTCTTGTTTATTATATATTATGTTTATATTAAAATAGTTCGGTTATCCCTATAAAATCTATTTTTTAGAATAAACTCTTTTTTTTTTCCTTTATTTTTCCATATATTACCTTCTTTAATTATATTTTTCGTTTTTTTTTAAAAAGGATAATATATAGCTTTTCTTAATATATAATTTTAAATAAATATGTTATTATAAAAGTCTTTTTTTTGTATATTTTTATATGTTTATTATTTAATTAATAATTTTTTTATTTTATTGAATAATTTAATTTTTTTTTTTCTAAAACAAAAAATAAAATACATAAAGATATTATATTTTTTTTGTCAATTTTTTTTCATTTATTCTTTAAGTGCTTAAACGAAATTCTTTAAATAAATTTTTTTCTTATTTTATATAATAATTCTATGTGTATTAGCAAGTTAATTGCATATTTTTTTCTTTAGATAAATAATCCTTAATTTCTACAAAATATTTCTATAGTTATATTTATTATAATAAGATATATATTCATATTATTTTTCAAAATTATCTATAATAAAAAATTTTAATTATCTTAAATTTAACTAAAAAGAAGTTTTATCATGCTAATCATTTTATTAATTAGAATTTTATTCATCTTTTTTAAGGTTTTTTATTTTTCTATTCCTTAATTGTTTTTTAACATTTAATTATTTTATTAATTATTATTTTTATAATTAAAATCCATACTTAATTAAGGAAATTTCGCTATTGATATTTTTTATTAAGTTTGTTTTATAATGCTCAGGTTATGAAAAGACTCTTAGTTCTATTTTGTGATTTAAGGTTCTAAAATTAAATTATTAATAGTCTTAGTTTATTCTTATTATATAAGATTATTTATTTATAAATTAAAATTTTCAAATTATGTAAAAGTATTATTTTCAAGATCTTATTGAACTTTTTTTTATTTTTTATTGTTATTTAAATAATATTAAATTTTAAAACATTTTTTAAAAATTACTTAATTATTCTTGTATTATATAATTATTTTAGTTTTCATTATTTTAAATATATTATTATTAAGATTATTATTATATAACATTAGTATTAATATTTATTTCTGAATTATTATTATTATTATTTTATTCTAATTCATTTTCAAAGCTTTAATTTTGATTTTCATCTATAATAATAATTTAATTGTTTTGAAAGTCAATTATTTAATTTTATTCGAAAAATTATTAATCATTAAAATTATAATCTACAATAATATATATATATATATATATATAACTTTTATTTATTTTATACTTTCATTAAGATTATATAACTTGCTTTTATCAGAAAAAAAAGAAGAATTTTGACTCGAAATATAAGAAATATCATCGTTTTTATTTTTAATTTAATTGTTTTTTTATTAATTAATAATCTATTTAATTTTATTATTATTTTTCTTATTAATAATTTATGCAGCATGTATATTATTTAGTCTACATTTTTTTAAATTTTTTCTTATAATCTATAGTTTAAGAAAACTTTTTTATCTAAAAATACTTCTTTAATATTCAATTCTTATTTATTCGATACTACAATTATTTTTTGCAGAAACTAAGATCTATATTAAATAATTATAAAATATATATTAATATACATATATACATATATATTTAAATTTAAATATATATGTATATATGAATATATGTATATATATTAATATATTTATATAAATAAATATATATTTATTTTTATATATATTTATAAATATATATATATATATTTTTAACGTATAATA